ATCCAGGCTGGAGTGCAGTGGCACAATCATAGCTCACTGTAACCTTGAACTCCTAGGCTCATGGGTTCCTCCCACCTCAGTCTCCTGAATAGCTAGGACTACAGGCACATGCCACCAGGCCCAGTCAATTTTTAAATTTTTTTGTAGAAGACAAAGTCTCCCAGGCTTGTCTCGAACTCTTTGCCTCAAGTGATCCTCCCGCCTCAGCCTCCCAAAGTGCTGGGATTACAGGCATGAGCCACTGCACCCGGCCTGCTATAGAATTTGAAGTTACCTGTGTGATTCATATTTTTTTTCTATTGGACAGCACTGAGCTAATATTTACAAACCCTCAGAGCAGGGCCTGGTGAATAGAAAGTACCTATAAGTGCTCGTTAAATAAAAGCTTCTCTTTGGAAGTGACCTGTTACCTGTGGCATTTTTAAATATGACTTTTCCCATTCCTCAGAAACTAGCAAAAGTTAGGCCATCTCCACAAAAAAGAAAGTGTAAAAATTAGCCGAATGTGGTGGTGTGTGCCTGTAATCCCAGCTACTCGAGAGACTGAGGCAGGAGGATTGTTTGAGCCCAGGAGTTCAAGGTTACACAGTGGGCTATGATTTGCGCCCACTGCACTCCAGCCTGGACAACAGAGCTAGACTTTGTCGCTTAAAAAAATAAAGAAATAAAAACTAGGAAAAGTTGAGGCTAATTCCTTTTCCTGTCCAGCCTTTCTTTAATTGAGTGATTTTTGGTTTACATTCCAGAAATGTAAGGCACCTAGTATGTGGTCCTATCTTTTCCAAATTGTTTTGTGGTATTTTTTCCATGTTGTTAGAAACTCTTCATAAACCCCATTAAATACCCTAGTTTACTTAAAAATTATTTCCAATTTTCCTCGTCACAAAGCACTAACAACTTTAGCTTAAAAATATTTTCTATCAGGATTAGTGTTGGGCAAAGTGGTAAAATATTTAAGGATGCTAATGTGTATTGTCAAGCAGTTTCCTAGAAAAGCTGAGTTAATTTACACTCCTGCCAGCCATGTGTGAATGTCTCCATTTCACCAACTTCTAACTGACTTTATCATCATTTATTTTAAAAAAGATTATGTGTGTGTGTGTGTTTTGTTTGGGGTTTTTGCTGGTTTGTCAGAGGGAAAAAGCATCTCATTGCTTGAATACACGTTTCTTTGATGACCCTGGAGATTGAGTATTCACTTGGTAAATGTACCCTGTGTGTTTTCTTTTCTGAGAATTGGCGCTTCGAGTTCTTTGCCTATTTATTTCTTAATGCCTTACTATTCATATTTTTCTTATCAACTTGCATGAGTTCTTTATGAAGATATCAATTTTCATACATTTTATTTTTCCCAAATTCGCATCAGCAAACACCGACTTAATGCCTTCATTCTATGTCTTATTTAACAGACTTTCATATTCTTATGTAGTTAAATCAATTAATTTTCCCTTTGTGACTTCTTGTCATTGCTTTTAAGCACTAACCATACCCTTCCAGAGATGGGGTGTCATTTTTACTTTCTTTTAGCATTTTTTTT